ACAGCCTGAAGTCTGGAACGCATAGACATCACCAGACGCTGGGTTTCATCCCTGGTGATGCTGTGCCAGGCCTCTACTACAACTGTCTTCAGTTCCTGCTTGATCTTGGTTCCCTGAAGACAAAACTAAAGTTCCCTTCAGTTTTGTCTTCAGCAAGTGAAATGCATGCTCAATCGGATTCAGGTCAGGTGATTGACTTGGCCATTGCATAACATTCCACTTCTTTCCCTTAAAAAACTCTTTGGTTGCTTTTGCAGTATGCTTTGGGTCATTGTCCATCTGCACTGTGAAGCGGCGTCCAATGAGTTCTGAAGCATTTGGCTGAATATGAGCAGATAATATTGCCTGAAACACTGCAGAATTCATCCTGCTGCTTTTGTCAGCAGTCACATCATCAATAAATACAAGAGAACCAGTTTCATTGGCAGCCATACATGCCCATGCCATGACACTACCACCACCATGCTTCACTGATGAGGTGGTATGCTTAGGATCATGAGCAGTTCCTTTCCTTCTCCATACTCTTCTCTTCCCATCACTCTGGTACAAGTTGATCATGGTCTCATCTGTCCATAGGATGTTGTTCCAGAACTGTGAAGGCTTTTTTAGATGTTGTTTGGCAAACTCTAATGTGGCCTTCCTGTTTTTGAGGCTCACCAATGGTTTCCATCTTGTAGTGAACCCTCTGTATTCACTCTGGTGAAGTCTTCTCTTGATTGTTGACTTTGACACACATACACCTACCTCCTGGAGAGTGTTCTTGATCTGGCCAACTGTTGTGAAGGGTGTTTTCTTCACCAGGGAAAGAATTCTTCGGTCATCCACCGCAGTTGTTTTCCGTGGTCTTCCGGGTCTTTTGGTCTTGCTGAGCTCACCGGTGCGTTCCTTCTTTTTAAGAATGTTCCAAACAGTTGTTTTGGCCACGCCTAATGTTTTTGCTATCTCTCTGATGGGTTTGTTTTGTTTTTTCAGCCTAATGATAGCTTGCTTCACTGATAGTGACAGCTCTTTGGATCTCATCTTGAGAGTTGACAGCAACAGATTCCAAATGCAAATAGCACACTTAAACTGAACTCTGGACCTTTTATCTGCTCATTGAAATTGGGATAATGAGGGAATAACAAACCCTGGCCATGGAACAGCTGAGAAGCCAATTGTCCCATTACTTTTGGTCCCTTAACAAGTGGGAGGCACATATGCAAACTGTTGTAATTCCTACACCTGATTTGCATGCAGATACCCACAAATTAAAGCTGACAGTCTGCAGTTAAAGCACAACTTGTTCGTTTCATTTCAAATCCATTGTGGTGGTGTATAGAGCCAAAAATGTTAGAATTGTGTCGATGTCCCAATATTTATAGACCTGACTGTATATTAAAAAAATATATATTCTTCAGATTTTTTTTAGCATATAAAAAGTAATTTTAACATATTTTTTTATATATTTGCAAATGCATTCCAAAAATGTAGATTTGTATTTTATAACTCCTTAAAAAAGTGCATATAAACATCACATTGCATACATAAACAGTATGTTCATCTTACGACATAGAAGTCCCATATAATATAAAGATTCCTTATATAATATATAAATTCTTCTTAATAATGTTCCTCTATTCTTGTAAATATTTGTGCACCTTCTTGCCATGTGCAAGATCACCCTTCTGTGTTTATCCTACACCAACACACATATAAACAATTTTGGCCATATTCAATACATTTCAAAAATATATATATATACTATATATATATATACATTTATATATATAATGTATGTTGAGATGCATTTTTCAACACATACACACACACATATATATATATATATATAGTATATATATATTTATATATATATATATATATATATTATATATATATAAAAATTATTTATTTATTGAAATACATTTTGAGATATATTGAATAAGGCCAACATTGTACTATTTCAAATATATGTCAATATATTTGGGAAGAATATTTTTAAAATATATTTCAATTATATTTTTCTTCTATATGGGTATGGTATAAATTGTATAATTTATATTACACGGCACTGGTTTACAGAGTATTGACCCCGTATATATATATATATATATATATATATATATATATATATATATATATATATATATATATATACGTGATTTTGCACTGGGAAGCTATTAAGACACATCTCAGTACACAGGAAGGTAAAACTACTTTTACTATTAGCATATTTTATCTTTCTACATCAATAAGACACAAGTGAAAAGATCAAAAATACATGAGAAACAAAGAGATGTGCTGACTTATGTAATTTGAAAGAATGTGCTGACTTAATTAATTTATATAGCTTGTTTTTTTATTTGTTTACATTCTCCCATAACAGTCTTATATCCTTCTTCCAGCTATTTATAGGTAAATACCTATAACAACAGCTACAAAATCACACCATATGCAATTTAGAAAGTGTCTCCCTGCTTGTTATCTTCTCCATCTCTGACAGCACATGTAACTTTCCTTAGACCATACTGATCTAATTTAGGAAACACAGCTCTTCCTCTAGTGCTTTGACAGGAAGCAGGAATGACAGAAATGTACAGTAAACACAACATCAGCTTTCAGCTGCAGAGGTTATAAAACCCTTAGCTCAAGAAATCTGTAATACAGGAGTGTAAATCCGAGCTAATCAAAATAGACACATTTTAAGCAAGGAAATGTGGCCAACATTTCTAGAAGGGTGCTGTACATCTGAATTGAAAGATTATTATTATACAGGATTTATATATCTTGCAAATGGTAAAGATATGAGAGCACACTATAATAGGGGGGAAAGAAACAGCAGCTGTGTACAAAAGGTAACCAAGAAAAACCTCAATCTTATTGCACAGAGCGGACCCGATCCTCCACTTCTCAGGTCTTGGCTCCTCCATTTCCTCGTGTGCCCTATAGCAAGGCACTTGCTATGGGGGAACAAAGTGTCTGCTCGCTCCTGAGCTGTGTGTATTGGAGCCGTGCTCCATAGACACACAGATCGGAACTTAGCCCTGCCCCCCTCCCCACACTTCCTCCTTACTGCATTTGATTGACAGCATTTGATGACAGCCAATGGCTCCTGCTGCTGTTTAAGTTCATGTGTTTAGAGGAAGCCGTGCATAGCATTGGATCTCTTCTCCCCTCTCTTCCCCTTTACACAGAGAAGGGAGAGGATACAGATATATAAAACATTTTTTACCCTAACACAATGAATGCATTAAGGTAAAACCATTTTTAGCTTTAGGCCTGGTTCACACCAATGCAGTTTGCTTTTAATCCATTTTTGCAATGTCTTTTGCATTATGCTTTGTGTTTTTATATACGTTTGTGCCACTTTTTAGCGTATTTTGCATTTTTCAGCTTTTTTTTATTAACCACCGCCCGCAATATAGTAATATGACAGACGCAAGGTTGTTTTTCTCGTTCTGGGGGAGGACGTCATATGACGTCCTCCCATTCTAACCGTGCATGAGCAGCTCCCGGAGCGCGCTGTGCGGCAATTGGCGGTGCGCTGTGTCCCTCGGACACAGCAGATCACCGATCCATGGAAAGAGCTGAAGATGTCGGCTCGGTCATGTGATCAGCTGTGTCCAATCACAGCTGATCACATGTAAACAGGGAAATGCCGGTTATCGGCATTTCTCTCCCCACGAGCTGTCACGCTGACAGCTCGTGAGGAGAGGAGAGCCGGTAACACTGTTCAACAAATTTTTATTTTTTGCCAGTTTTGGAAACAAAAGGATCCATTTCTTAATGAATTTCACATTCTGAGTTCAAATATAACAATGAAATTTGTCAATTGGCTCTAGTTTTTCTGTAAACAGAAAGTTTTCTACTATAGGCGTAATGACTACATAATGCACAATAATTATATAGATAGATGTCTTTCCACAAATATAAAGCAAGTGATATTGACTACATAACAAAGCCTAAATGGCATAATATATTGCATAGGATTACCAAGAAAAATTATAGCCATAAGCTAAGTTGAATCATTTTAATACTTAGGATTCTCACTAGTTTTGTCTTCAGTTTGTGTCGGTTTTGCTTCTCTTGGCTTTTCTCTTGTATTCGAGGAAAGGGCTATCTCTTACAACTGCACGTGACTACACACTTCAGGTTCTTCCTCACTTGACTCAACCACGAAGGATTCTGGTGCTTTAGGAATCGGTAGCCCCCCTCTCCATGAGGAACTGGACGTATTGCTGATGGAATATTTGGATAGTGCACAGATAACTTTTTCTTCTTATTTAGCCCTTTTACAATTGGAGGCACCATACAAAAGTAACAATTACTAACATGATCTGTTGGCTCTCTCCAAATCATTGGCACAGCGAAAGGCATAGATGCCTTTTTTTTTTTTTTTCCATTCAACCATTGCTCCAGTGCCGTCCCACAAGAATTGCAGCATATATGTGGTGCCCAGCTCTTGTCCTGGTCTCCTATCTTGCAGCCAAAATACAAGTTGTAGGCTTTCTTAAATCATTCCTGTTATCCTCCTTTTTTGTGAGATAAAAGTTATTTCACCGCAGATATAGCATAAATTATCTGCTTTATTCACACAAGTGTTTCGAGGCATTACTGAGTAGCCTATATAAGCATAAAACGAAATGTAAAGACGCTGTCGAACTACAATCAGCTACAGATACTGCAGCTTTTATGCAGTGAAGTGATGCAATTAAAGGCTAATATTGCATCGTCTCAGTATACATGCAATTTTCTATTGGTCACCAGTATCAATTGCGCAATATGCAGCTGAAGTTGCATCATAATTTTGAATGGCTTACGTCATTAGATGGGTGAATATATCATGGAAACTAGAGCCAATCAACATTTTTTAGGGTCATTTTCGTTTTCAGCACCCCAAAATTATGTAAGATTAGCTAATTTTATGCCCAAAACTTTTTACCTGTTGAACAGTGTAATCGGCATTCCTCAGAGGGGACATGTACACCGATCATCAGAGCACTGATGATCAGTGTACTCTGATGATCTGTGTAGCCCCAGCAGCGCCACCTGAAAGTGTCCATCAGTGCCAGCTCTCAGTGTTCATCCATGCCACCTGCCAGTGCCCATCAGTGCCACATTTCAGTGCCCATCAGTGCCACATCAACACCACATATCAGTGTCCATCTGAGCTGCCTTTCAGTGCCACCCATCAGTGCCAGTTAGTACCACCTATCAATGCCAGTCAGAGCCACCTATCAGTGCTGCCAATCAGTGCCACTTATCAGTGCCAGTCAGTGCCGCCTATCAGTGCCACCTATCAGTGCCATATGTGAGTGCTGCCTTTCAGTGCCCATCAGTGATGACTGTCAATGCCCATCAGTGCCACCTACCAGTGCCTCCTCATCAGTGCCCATCAGTACCACCTATCAGTGTCCATCAGTGCAGCCTATCAGTGCTCATCACTGCAGCCTCATTAGCGCACAACAGTGAAGGAGAAAAAATCACTTATTTAAAAAATTTTAAAACAAAAACTAAGAAAAAACTTTTTTTTTTTCAAAATTTTCAGTGGTTTTTGGTTTGTTTAAGAAAAAAAAAAAAACTGCAGAGGTGATTAAATACCATCAACATAAAGCTCTATCTGTCAAAAAAAAATGATAAAAATTTCATATGGGTACAGTGTTGCATGACCGCGCAATTGTCAAATTGTCAAATTGCAACAGCACTGAAAGCTGGAAATTGGCCTGGGCAAGAAGGGGGTATAAGTGCCCTGTAGGCTAGTGGTTAAAGGGGAAATGTTTTTGTTGCTGAGCAAAATGAAAACGCAAAATGTGACAAAAATGCGTCAAAAACTCACTATATGCATTTCAGCAACATCTCCGTTGAACTTTATTGTAGCAAAAAAGCTGCTTTTTGCGTTTTAAAAATGTCCCTGACCCTTTCCAAAAATGCAGCTCCTCAAAAGAGCATAGATGTGAACGTGTCCCATAGGAAAGAAAGGTTAAATGGACTGTAGTGCGTTTCTGCAAAAAGCACTAAAAAACACATCAGTGTGAATATCACTTTAACAATAACTATATGACTAATTTACATATATAAATAATTTTATAGATATATTTAAGGGCATATAAATATTAGTATTTGCTACACTATTTTAATAAAAACTGTTTTTTATTACAAGCCAACAAATGTGAAAAAATATTTTTAAATTTTTTCAATTAATTTATTATAATTTTTAATACTGGAACTTTATCTTACAGTTGAACCATTAAATTATTATTATTAATATGATTATTGCATATGAACACTACAGCCAGAAGATGGTAAGGTAATCAGGGTTAATCAGTAGACTGAGGACATTCTTTTTGTCAGTGGAGCCTTCAGTCTGCATGTGATCATTTTGAGCTGATCCCATGATCAGAAACCACCATGATTGGTTTGATATCATAAGTAGGGAAATCCAGGATTGAGAACCAGCTGCCGCACAATGTAGCAGCTTCTGGTTCCTACAGGGAAGAAAGTATTTTAAAGTAGAACTGAAGGCATTTTTTCACTCTGGATACTGAAAAGGGAAGGTTATAACCTCGTCAGGCTTTTTTGCCATCTGTGTCCCATTAGGGAAATTTTACTTCGCTTCCTTTCCCATAGCCACAACAAGAAGAGAATGGAAATCTCCACTCTATCTAAAACTAGCAGGAGCATCAGTTCCTTACTTCATAAGTAAAAGGGGACATTTTCATTTTAATCTCTTGCCACCACCTCCCAGGAGCCCTTTAGGTGGGTATTAATGCCAAGAGGAGGAGGAGGCTTCCTGATTACATGATCACTGGGATTGACTATCACAGTGATCATAGTGGTCACATGGCCAGAAGCTCCTCAAACAGTGACCAGGAGCTGTCAATGTACAACAAACTATTCAAAATTAACATTTTATTTATGAATATATTCAATTGTCCAATTACTTTTGGTCCCTTGAAAAAGGGAACTGGCTAATCGTAAGAGCTGTAATTCCTAAACCCTTCCTCCAAATTGGGTGCACATACCCTCAAATTAATGAGCACTTTCAGTCCATATCCATTATATAAATATAGCTTGAATATGTTTTGGTAAATAACTGAAAAAGTCTAAAATTGTGCCTGTGTCCAAATATATATGGAACTAACTGTACCTAATGGTAGTCAGGGTGCAATTGTCTAGCCTGTAGAGGTCTGTGCATCCCTCCATGGGTATACCTCCCCAGACCATCACTGACCCACCACCAAAATGGTCAAGATGAATAATGTTACAGGCAGCATAACGTTCTCCATGGCTTCTCTAGACCCTTTCACGTCTGTTACATGTGCTCAGGGTAAACCTGCTCTCATCTGTGAAAATCACAGGTCGCCAGTGGCAGACCTGCCAATTCTGGTTTCAATGGCAAATGCCAATCGAGCTCTATGGTGCCGGCAGTGAGCACAGGGCCCACTAGAGGATGTTGGGCCCTTAGGCCATCCTCATGAAGTCTGTTTCTGATTGTTTGGTCAGAGACATTCACACCAGTGGCCTGCTGGAGGTCATTTTGTTGTGCCCGGCAGTGTGCATCCTGTTACTCCTTGCAGAAAGGAACAGATACTGGTCCTGCTGATGGTTTAAGGACCTTCTACGGCCCTGTCCAGCTCTCCTAGAGTAACTGCCTATCTCCTGGAATCTTCTCCATTCTCTTGAGACTGCTGGGAGACACAGCAAACCTTCTGGCAACAGCACATATTGATGTGCTATCCTGGAGGAGTTGGACTGCCTGTGCAATTTCTGTAGGGTCCAGGTATTGCCTCATACTGTCAATAGTGACACTGACCCTAGCCAAATTAAAAACTAGTGAAAAACAGTCAGAAAAGATGAGTAAGGAAAAAAATGTCAGTGGCCTCCACCTGTAAAACTATTCCTGTTTTGAGGATCGTCTCATTGTTGCCCATCTAGTGCACCTGTTGTTAATTTCTTGATGCTATACTCTTATTAAAAAGTGTTCCTTTAATTTTTTGAGTAGTGTATGTACCTGTAGTTCAGCTTTAAAATGTATCCTTTCTTTTTTGACCCTGAAACCTTACCCACAGTTGTCAAAAAAAACAGAACATTTGTGCCACATACAGCTAGATGTGACAAGCCAATTTATTGTATCACGCGTGATCTCATTTTGTACAATCAAACTCTGATTCAATTACAGTTGCTTGTTCAAATAGAACAGTACACCTCTGTACAAGCAACAAAAAAATTGGTGCAGTTTGGGACCGGCACATCAGACATTCCAGTCATGCTTGAAAGATCTGTACCTGGAGAACTATTAAGCCTTTAAAATCATTATATGAATGGCCTGTAACATCACTCTTCTCTGTATTTCTGTACTGCAGCAGCTTTTCTTTGCATTTTGCTCCTCTGCGGAAAATAACAAAAGAGAAATCTTGTATGTGAGTATAATTTGGTGGAAACTATACGGGGTGCTGTGCATTAAAATCGAAGATGTTTCCTATTATAATTGAAGCCTAACATTTCTAGGTTTTTGTGGTTTAATGATACCAGTGCACAAAATGGAACCAGACCATGAACCTAGGGCAGCAAAGTGGTTGGCACACCCATCTGGCAGCAGCGAGGTCATTAGTTTGAATCCCAACCATGATACTACCTGCCTGGAGTTTGCATATTTTCCCTGTACCTACGTAGGTTTTGTTCCACACATCAAAGACATGCTGGTAGGCTATAGGGTTCTTGTCTAAATTGGTCCCAGTATGTGTATGCGTGAATGTGAATTGGGTACCTTAGGTTGCAAGCTCCTTGAGGGAAGGGGCTGATGTAAATATACAATATTCATGAAAAGCATTGCATAAGTTGTCAGTGCTATATAAGTACCTGAAATAAATAAAATAATGCTTTGAGAGGAATCTATTGCATCTGGATTTTTATTTTTCTAAATTATATTTTGCAACCATTAAATATTTTTCAAGCAAAATTCAATCGAGTGACCCAGCCTGGGGCTGAGGGCTGTGGCCCTGCAGTGTACACTAAGAAGAAGCTGAAGAAGTGTAATGGTAATCATTAGTACCACAATGCCCCCTCCTACTCAATATTATTAGGGAACAACCATTGCTTGCTGGCAGCGGGAGAAGAACCTCTCAATGAAACATACATCAGGTGACCTGAGCCCCCATGTCCAATGAGCTTCAGGTGTTCAGTTGGACCAATGGAGCCTTCACCTGTAAGCACGTGAAAAATGTAGGGTCCTACATGAAAGAATGTGCTCCAGGCATGAAGAGGGGTTAACATGGCTATAGATCAGGGGGGATGGAGTGGCTGATTGGTTTTTTATTTTTTCAGGCTAAGAACATTTTCATCAAGTAGAGAAAAAAATGGCCTTTAAGGAGTATAGGGCAGAGGGGTCATTGTCTGCACTCCAACACTAAAAGCAATACAATAAAAAGTGTAAGAAATCAATCAGGGCAGCTAAAACAGACTACATGAGACACATTGCAGAGGAGAGAAAAAGAATCCCAAGAATTTTTCAAAATATATTATTGATAGGAAAAAAGCGAGGTCAGAACATATTGGCCCCCTATGAAGCTGGTTACAAATGACAAGGAAAAGGCAACTGTACTAAATACATTCTTCTCAGTTTTTACAAAGGAAAAGGAGGGGTACTGTAATCAAGCTTGTATCATTAGTAACATAACACAGAATGTACCATTGTGGCTAACAGACAGTGTCTGCAAAAGACTAAAAAATCCCAACACAAATAAATCACCGGGACCTGCTTACACCCAAGAGCACTTTAAAAAAACGTAGTCAGGTTATAGCCAGAATGGTATTCCTAATTTTTATGTTCAGCATACTGACAAGAATAGTACCAGCTGATTGGCGAAGGGCCAACGTGGTATACATTCTCCAAAAGAAGGGCAAAAACATATACCTGGGAACTACAGACCAGTCAGTCTAACATCAATAGAATGCAAACTAATTGAGGGGATAATAAGAGACTAAATCTATGAATTTGCTGAAGAAAACAGAATACTTAGTAGCAATCAGCATGGATTTACGAAAAGGTCTGTATTGCCAAACTGTTAACATTCTATGAGAAAGTGAACTGCAATCTTGATAAAGGAAAGGCGGTGGATGTGGTATATCTGGATTTTGCAAAAGCATTCTATACAGTTCCACATAAACGTTTAATTTACAAACTGAGATCTATAAGCATGGACCATAGGGTTTGTTCATGGATAAAAAACTGGTTTCAGGGGTGCGTCCAATGGGTGGTGATAAATAGCGAGCACTCAGACTGGACTGAAATGGTAAGTGGGGCACAACAAGGCTCTGTTCTGTGACTAATTATGTTTAATTTTTTCATAAATGATATAGAGGTTGGTATAAATAACTCAATCTCAGTGTTTGCTGATGATACAATGCTAAGTAGGGCAATAATTTCACAGCAAGATATAGATACTTTACAAGAAGACCTCATTAAAATAATGTGCACAAGTAGTGCACTTGGGGGCTAAAAATATGAACACCAATTATTTGCTAGGGGGAGAACTTCTGGG